GAGGCGTTGACCACTTCAATCGAAGTCGAATCATCCCCAGCCTCGGCTGTTCCCACTTTCTCTACTTCCTTCTCGGCGGCCATCTCAAGGGACGGGGCGTATACGCAGAAGATTGTAACTGGATCTGGAGACGAAGAGACGAGACGGCAAGACGTATATGTCGATAGAGGCGTACAAATGAGAGGTTGTTTCCGAATTAATCAGCGAAAGACTGCTCTTGTGCTTGAGGTAAACGAATCCAGGCGACGGAAGCAATAGTGTATAGAGATCGACGAAGGAATGACTGAAGTTTGCGGGTATCGAATTAGATGGCAGCCTCGAATAATCAATTCAGGAGAACGTAGGCCCAGACATTGCTCCTTCGATGACCGTATGACCGTGAAGAAAAGTGAGTATGAAGATCAGGGAAGTGAGCAGCACTGGGATGAGTCCCAGTTTATAGTCGATTGGGGAAAGACAGGCAGGACCCAGGCAGGGCACCCTCCTCTCTCTCACTATACAGCAGGGAGTAGACAGTATGAGACCGACCTAAAGACCCGGTGGTTCTCCAACCGGTGGAGCATATTGGAACCCTCAGAGGGAAACAGTCCAATCATTGCCTGAAGAGACTGGCTGGTGGTGGCCAATCTGGACGGGAGCGGGTCGGGAAGGGCTTCTGACTGGCTCCCGCCGGTCACTAAGAGCAGCAGCACGCGGAGAGACACCATTCCCAAAGGGGGAGCTGTAGCAGATATACCTTCATCTGCAATCCACTGATCCCCTCGTGGTTGAGGTTGATTTTAGGTGTGCGATCATAATTTGGATGGAATGGAGTCCGGATGGCAGGTGAACAGGTCTTTTCCCCACAATGGGGTATCCGACTTCATCTGTGCTTCTTAGAGGTCTTGGAGTTGGAGATCATGTACATTGATATATGTATAGTACTGAAGACAGCAGATGGGTGTATCTGAGTGACAGTCGAGTGTATTGTAAGAGAGGTGGATGATTTCACAGCGATGTTCAGGCATAATGGGTGGTGGAACAGAATGCCTTATCTACTACTCATGGTTGTTCACTTAAGTCTAATAAGGAGCCCTGATAAGATACAACGACTAGAACATTTCGATCTTGATAAACGCTTCCAGACTGCTTCTGCTACTTGTGACATATTGATATCTCTTATCTATCTATATACGGTCAAATATAGTCGGAAAATTCTGCAGCGGTACCTCCGGGGGTATTCTTCATTGTAAGGTTCCTCGATGTGGAAGTAGCTCACTCATAGACCCCGTCTGCTTAATGCCACTGAGAAAAACCCCATGTAACCACAGCCTGCTGTTGCCAAGCCCTGAAGAGTGGAGACCCTCCGATTGTGGAAATCGCGCCACGAATCCATCCGACCGTGGGCTTGACTTTCTTTGTTCTCTATTAGACTAACCAAACAATGCCACTGACTTTTACATTCCCATTATCCATGATGATTATTCACAAGTTGTGATATGGTTACAAACTTGAGATAGTTCTCAGTATTTTAGCTGATGACGCTGAAACTCCCATAGGGCCGGGGTTTTGACCTTGAACGTTCTAGTGCGCCGAAAGAAGTCCACGCTATACTAGTAAGCCTGGCGCAGCGCTTACACTGGGGATGTTCGTTCGGCTCGGCCGGAGGTAGGACGTGGGTGCTTAGTGGGCAGGGGGGGGATTCAGCTACCACAGAACTAGACCCTCAGCTTGGGTTGTATTTTCAAAGGGTCTGGCCAACTCTTTATTTAAAATCCAGTATCATAGCGTAGTATGAATGAATCAATGGCTTGGAAGAACGGACAGCGACATACTTCCGTCCCGTTTTTAATTTATTAGCGCAATTACTGTGTAGAACGATGAAAAGGGCAATAAACATTGTGAGAACCCGTTTCTTCCAGAACCGAAGCTGATCTCTCCTAGAAACAATAAGCTGTCTCACTTCGCACCTTAGCGTTCAGATAATCTTCTCACTCAATATAGATCGAAGGATCTCTTGCAAAACGAAAACCCATCTACCATCTACTCGGAGAAACACCGGCAGTCTTCCTAGCCCTTCATCAACGGCCCCTAATTAATAGCGTAGAATTGATGCGAAACGGCCCTTTTCTTGGGTTAATAGTTCACCCAAAACAATGGTAGTGATGGCGTAGCTGCAGCGGGATAGAATCCCGCTGTTCCAGAACACGGACCATACTCTTGATGACGGTGGATGTCTAATGAAACCACACTATACAATCAAGTTTCGTTAATAATCCTCCGACTAAAACTGAGCCCAGTCGAAATCCTTCACCCTGACTGGCGTAACCCCCCAAAGTTTAATATAGTACATCCCTGCTAGTTAAGAATCGTCTAGGTTCACCGATCTGGTAATCGATCGTGTCCATCACCTTGATTGGATCGAAAGATTCAGTCTAAACACCACCCTGCAGCCCAAGCCGGTGGTGATGTCGCATATAGGCATGGTTTGTCTGAAACTAGGTTGCCTTCCTTCGGGGCTTCCGAGGGCTGCTACATTTATTGTTAGAGCATATTGAGGTCATTCACGGGCAGTTTCCGAAAGTATAGGGGGGGGGGGTTTAAACGAAAATACGAGGGATTGTATCGATAGAATGAATTGGGAGTAGCCATATTGCATACTATACTGAGCTGAAGTTTAATCGTTAGGGGGTTCCTTGGGTTGTGGTGTCACTATCCGAGTTTCAGAGGGATCTAGATGGGTAGACTAGATAGAAAGTAAGCCTGCAGCACGCAGCGCGGGGTACCTTGCAGGGTGGGATAACCTGCGAATGCATAATCTTCTTGATATTCAGAGTGTAAATTTTCGCATATATATTGTGCACAAACAAAGTAGTAGGATCATGCCATACAATAGAGCGAACTCAAAAGATTCAGGGACACTTGGATCGTCCAGATGGTTACTGAAAGTACTAACAGACCCCTGACTAAGGTAGCATTGATTAGCTCGAGGCAGCAGCAGCAGCAACAACTCAAACAACAAGCTCCCAGTGTAACACCTAATTGCGTACCACTCCTCGGTTAATCCACCACGAAATGGTGTCGCTTGCATCCATCGTTAATAGCCCTGGTTTTCCCGAGGCTAGCCCGATCCTGCCGGGTCCATGATGCAGCTAAAGCCGCAGATGTTGACGTAGAAAACACAAATAATTCGCCGCAGAGATTATTCGTGAGTGGCTAAATGAAAAATTAATTAAGAAAATACGGCTCAACCCACCAGCCAGTGGTTTGAGATTTATGAATGGGTATAACCGATCGCCTACTCCACGGGGGAGATGGATGGGCCCATGGCCCTATGACACCCTGGCGGGTTAAAGGAGGATCTGCTCGAGATCGGCTCACACGACCAAGGCAGCAGGATGAAAATTTCTACTTTTACTTTTTTACATTACAAACTGTAGTAGTAGTACCACGAACTGAAATAGTTGTACTTTGTAGGAGGGGCCGAGCCTTCTCTTTTCTCTCATAGGCTTCAGCTAACTGAATGCTTAAATTCTTTTCCCGGCATGGAACCGTCCCTTCCGTCTTGGTATGTGCAAAGAGCCAAGAGAGCTGGCCGGCTGGCAATATCGAAGCACAGGCTCGCTGTCTTTGCTGACTGGCTGAATTGTGGAGGAAGGGGGAGGGGGGGCACATTTAAGTTCACGGCTAAGTGGGCCCTTGATCCAAATTAAGTTGCCACTAGCGGGAGCCCACCGCAGAAAATCAAATAAATACACGCAGGCTGGTGGGTGACACAACTGTATTGTGTCCGTTTGGTGGAGTATTGGTCTTTGTGAATTAAATTGCACGTTCTTTGGTAGTCTAGTACTTAGGCGTGGTCAACGGTATAATTAGCTTCGCTCAAAATTCCCCCGTTGCCTGTCGCACTTGATATCGGGTGGGTTATGTCCACGAGCGAGTATATTGTGCTAAATTCATACTTCATAATACCTAAACACCTATCAGCATACACACAGAGGTTCAAAGGAGTCGCACAGTATACGTATGCAGCAGTGGAAGTGGGGTTCGATGGTCGATCGCTCCATTTTGTACCTGCGAACAATTGCTCCATGATTCAGGCGGCAAAAGATGCCCCTCATATTGGCCACTCCTCACCGTCTGTGCAGTTATTTCGGCTGTGGCTGCTAAACAGTCGGCTAGGAGTTGGGAAAAAAAAAAGAAAATAATTACATCCTCGTGAGAATAGTAGTACTAGTACTGTCACTCCAATGATACCTTCTCTCCCCGAAAGGAAGCAACAATGCTTGGTAAGGCCCAGGTACCGGACGAATGGGAATGGATGGAAGTCGGCAAGTGTCCATGGTATACTTTTGGTCAGCTCGAATTCAATATTCCTACTTCCTAGCAAGGAACCTTGGATCCCCACGTTAATCCCTGCTAGTTTGGCGTCGTGGAGACAACCCATCCAGAGGCAAGCAGTAAGCAGTACTAGTAGCCTACTACTGTACACAGTAGTAGTGGAAGTAGTGGGAGTCTAGCTAGAAGCCCCGCAGCCGACTTGGGCCACTACGGATCCGCCTGTCTGATTTACTTTACTTCCATTCGGGCACTGTCCGTTCTAACCCTGAAGGTGTTGCTGCTGTGCCCCATGCGCTGCTTTCTGTCCTCAGAGGGTGTTAACTCTTTGGTACTAGTCTGGTTGATAAACCCGGCCCCGGCTCGAGTCCATACTATTCGCCCATCCACCGATGCACACGCATCGTCAAGGATCGTTCCTGGATTCTTTCATCTACTCTACCCTGTCTCCCCTATCGCTACTATGTGGACAGCTTATACCTAAATCTGGATCGCTGATTGATTGACTCGGACGCATCACCCCTCGGCCAATGTGCCGGCCCTAGAACCTTATTATTGCAATATGTGCGTGAATCCTTTTATATCGGCCCATGTCCCTTTTGGCCCCTGCATATGTACCCCCTCCCTCAGGTGATTTCAATTGACCGGCCTTATCGCATTCCTCTAGGCTGCACTCAAGTGAGATGGCGAGCCTAGACTCCGCCTTTGCGACAAGCTTCGCAAAAGAGACATGGGCCCTATACAGCGTGGGAGTATTGGGGGCCATCCTACGATTGTGAGCTCCCTTGACCCAGAGAGATCTTCTGCGGATGATCGTGCATCTAAGTATTTCTTACTGACTGACTCCCTTTGTATAGCGTAGCACGAATACGTCGATTAGGTTACCAGAACCTTCAAGCAGATGATTACTTGATGCTATTCGCGGTCGTCTGGTATACCCTATTATGTGTCGCTCTCAATGAAGTCGCCTCTGGAGGCGGATCAAATCTGATGGACGAGAATGATATAAAGAACTTAACACCTGCCATCAAGGCGGATCGTGTCAGGGGAAGCAAATGGGTCTTTGTATCGGAGCATTCCTTCCTCCTCGCCATCTATGCCATGAAGGCATGCATGTTGGTTATATATGCCCGCATCACGTATGATTCTCTATCCAGCGACTACTATTCTGCCTGTCTAACAATGTTACCAGGGAAGGACTACGCCAACGAAAATGGGTGACTTATCTCGCTGTCTATGTCGCCATTGGCTTCGTTGGCAATGAATTGTCTTTGTTCCTAATTTGCCGGCCTTTATCGAATTACTGGGCCGTGCCTACTCCCTATGGTCAGTCGAAGCGATAAGCCCCGCGACAAATATTTGCCAGTCACTAATTTCTATTTAGACCAATGCTCGACATATCAGTACTATGAAATTGTTCAAGGATGTCTATCAATATCTGCGGACGTCTTCATGCTTATCATTGGCCTCCCACTTATGGTTCAAGTTCGAGTGCCTCTTAAGCAGAAGTTGATTCTCTTGATCCTATTCGGCATGGGAATCTTCGTCATTGTCGCAGCCCTCCTGAACAAACTCTATTGTCTCGTTCCTTCTCTCATCTCCTATGTTTACATGAACTGGTATTTCCGGGAAGCGACAGTAGCTATCCTGGTCACCAACCTACCCCTTGTTTGGTCCCTCCTTCGCGATGTGTTCCCCGCGCTCAAGAGTTGGACCGGAGGGTCACGACGAGGAACCACCGAACGGTATCGGACTGGTCCCTGGACAAGTAAGGGATCTGCATTTCGTCACTACGGTCCCCACAGTCAGTTGCAGTCTGGCGAATACAGCATGCACAACTACAACCAAAGCACCGTTGTTGCGCCCCAGAAGACTATTTCGGAAGTCAGCCTGGAGCCGAGCGAAGATCGCGAGCCCAGTGAGGACGGCTCCGAACGGGCCCTCAGAATCCGACAGGATGTGACGGTGACGGTGGAGCGCGAGACACGACCACCTGAGTATTGGGAGTCCAAGAAGGCCCAAACTTCAGAGGGCCGACTCCCAGAACCATGAAGGACACGATTGTTTCATGATACTTACTTCCTTTCTCCGTGAATTCATTTTCTCAACGCTTGTATAGAAACCTTTTTTCCTTTTTCTCTTTTTGGACAACACTCTCTTGATCAACTTTCTTTCCTTTCATGGCACCCCAGGTCCCGCTAGCGGACTGATCTGATAACGGTGTCCGCTTGACTATTGTACATAACTTGCTCGGCACCCCATCGCTTAACGTCCATATTTCCACTGATCATCGGCATGTGGGGGACCAAGATGCCGAGAAGGCATCCACTACGACTATGGTTCGGAAGATAGAGGGGGGGATGTTTGGCGCTTAGCGACGAGGATAGACAAAAACTTATTGTGATATAGTAATAGATAGACAATGGACTATACGTTCATATAAACCGGTTCCAATTTCAGGCCGCGTTTGGCAAATGTTTTCCAGAAGATCGTCTTCCCTGGGACTCATCCGTAGCCTGCCGACCCGTGACCTGATCTTCCTGTGACAGGCCACTTTGGGGTTTACGTGCGAGTTACCGTAATATATGCTTCTTTTGGCGGACTTGCTATGTAATAATGGAAATCATATAACAAAAGTCACCTGTCTCCTCTCCTCCCCAATGATGTGCCTGATTATCTTTCAGTTTCCAGTCCCTCTCTCTCTCTCCTCTCTGGCGATCACCATGCTGGCTTCTGCATCTCCAAACTTCAAAGGTGCTCTCCATTGAGACTATGACGTCTGGTACGGGGGCTGGTTTGACCGCATCCATTCCATGGTCTCACTAAGACTGGTTATCAGGCGATACTGCATCTAGTAAAAGATCAGGTATCACTCGTCTACGCTTCTCTTTTTGACAACTGCGAACTTTAACATTGGTGTCCGTGCCAAGAGCAGACAGAGGCTGGCTGACAGGAACTTAGTTCACGCTCTGAAGTTAAAGAACTCCTACGGCCAAGGGGCAGGTGCCGTCCGAAGAAGCCGGGGCCTGATAAACTTCGTGCTGACTTGGTCTGCTACTAGGTAGTAACCTTAACTTCTACCGCGGCCGCTTTGGCAAGACTGGGAACCCACTATCTTCCGCAAAACTCACCAGCCATCATAATCATCAGTCATCCAACCATAATAACTACCAACAATCATCAAGGAGCGTCTCAGTCGGGTAGGAATGTTCTTTGCTCAGATTGGCTGTACCCAAACACCTATCTGCGCGACTATTTGGCATGTGGTCCATGGGACCACTCCCCATCCCCCACCCAGCAGCAACCACTTTAGGGAATGATCTTAAGTTTAGATTCCCCGATGCCGAACTTCATCATTCGGCCCACGGGTCCGTTCAGCATGGACGGAAATAACTTGCTCAGGTGCGTACGCCGTACGGAAGGCATGGCTGAGTAGCAAAGCTTTCCACGAATCGAAGGCATGCTTTGCGCTGTAAGGTACAGCGACAGTAGCCGCAGCCGACTACCCCAGTGATCGACATTCGCACCACTGGCCAGCATCTCCAAGCCTGAGCCCAGTGGCACAAATCGCGAGCGTAGCGGGATTTGGAGAACTTCAACAAACCCCGTCATTCGCAGGGTTAGAATCGCGGTGTGGCGCTGGTTTGCCACTATACTACAGACTACACACTCGGTCTTTTCAGGTCGAAGTGAGACTAATATTGTCCCTCAAAACAACACCGTTGTCTCGCTTTTCCTCTTTTTTAGGTGTACAGAAGCAACTAGGCAAGGCTGCGCCAGATCTCGTCTCAGTTTCGGTGACAGCAGAATAGCAGATTGGTGTGGCCCGCTTACGCCCGTGCCTTACCTCTCAAAGTCTGCCGTTTGAACTATTGAAATGTCTCCCGGGATTGACCACAGTTGATCAAATGTCACTTTCGCCCATTTGTCCCGTAGACTTTCGGAGAACCAGACTTTCACTTGAGAGAGAGGGTCACCGCTAAAGGAGAAAATCACGCTCTATAATGAGCAGTTACTTGTCCCGCTAAGCGTTCGGTCCTAAGATAGTTTCTCTTATCCGAAAGCTTATAGATTCTTCAGAATCTTGTGACAGTTCATGCAACATGCCAGCACGGTCCCCAATGCTCGGCTGCCTTTGCAAATTTCTGAGCACCCTGCATTATGGGTGATGCCACGGTCCCAATAATACAGCTGTGCCTGGGATATTCAATATAAACTATCTTTCATAACACATGGGGTTCAACGTCTGGTCGCACAAGCCCACACCTACTCATACAGCATTTGAGTCTGTGTGGTAAATTTTAATTGAAATCTTACACCACGCGAGACAGTAGATTCGCGGTACAACCTCTGCAGTTCGTCTTTGTATGGGGACTGCAGATCCACGTGGCTTTAGTTCAACGCATGCTGATCACCTCGGTGCGAACTGCTGAATCCCTCACTGACTGATTTAGCGTATGTGGAAGGGAAAGATGACGAGTCCTCCTGTTAGCTTCATGATCTCAGTGTTTTGAGCCAGTCGATTAGCGTTCCCTCCGAATCATTCTGTGTTAGAGGATGCTTCGTCCGAGACATGGGAGACGCCGCTGAACTTTGTTCACGGATTTGAACATTTCCGACCACTGCACCCCGAATTTCTCCCGTGGGCAACATGGCGGAGAGCAACCGTGCTGAGTGTGGGCTTGATTACTCTAATCGGTACCAACTCCTTATCCTAACGCGAATGAAGGCTAGAGCGCTTTTCAGGAGCAGACGCCGTTTTCTTGGTGTGGATTGGTCTAATCTACTGTCGTGATAGCAGTATGCACTAACCAGCGTGCTTTGCAAAATTCTGCCATCCGTCGACTTTCGAGACCCAACCACTAATCAAGCACAATATATTGCACAGTACCAGCGCCACTGGACTGGGGTCTAAAAGAAATGGTGTGTTGGGCGCCGATATTAAGGAGACGCACGTTATCAGCATTGGCAGCATTCCTATTAGTGATGCTGTGTTGTCATGTACTACTTACCTTGTCCCGATTCGGCATGACTGGCACGTGATGCGGGGCTTCCTCTTCCCCTCCAGCTTCATCTATACGCTTCCTTTGCATGCCGATTGACAATTTCTTTACAGATTAGCGTTGAGTTGACCTCATCCAGAATCAAGAAGGATCGGTTCTGGTTGCATTGAAGGAAGCGGACCGTTCGACATTCTGCATGCGGCATAACTTCTCCCTTGTAAGCACTTGTACTCTTAGTCACTACTACCTTATCCCTGCAAACAGTATGCCCGGATCTGTAGACTAACCGGGTGGTATAGCTTACGAGCTACTGAAGGCGGACTGAGTCTCCAATTAAAAGAGATACACTGAAACTCTATCAGAAAAATATCCAAGGACCGTCAGGCTTACCATGTCTCCATCATTTCTAGGCCTTGAGGGCCTTCACGTCTTCGTCGCTGGTGCCGCAGGAGATATCGGTAGGCGAGCGGTGCAGGAATTTCTAGGTATGTTGCTTACATACTCTGTCTGTGCTAGTTGGAGGCAAGCCCCAAGCGTATCTTAGCCTACCATCTTTTTGTAGTTGATGACCGTAGTGACAGCCACCAGCTGTTGCTGAACTATTCTATATGTCACATTCCGCCTTTATGTGCCTTGTGTTCTGCATGAGACAGCTCAATACTAACCACATTCACAGACCAAGGATGCAAAGTCACGGCGTTTGATCTGCATGATGTGAGAATCCCTGAAACAAACAGAAACGATGTGCATCCTAGACTTCACGTCCTCAAGGGCGATGATACAAATGAAGACTCCATTCAATCATGCATTTCCCAAGCCAGCCAACGCCTCGGCCCCATCAATGTCCTCGTTGTCAATTCCATAACCACTGGACAAGGAAATGACCTCCCCATATGGGATCTTCCACTGGACCACTGGGAGAGAACGTCTTGTGCCAATGTACGGGGAACCTTCCTCACGATCAAACACTTCTTGCGAGCTGCTCAAACAGCCCAGCAGTCTGCCGGCAAGCAGCTAGAAAATCTTGCTATTGTTGTGGCAGGAGGCGAGACACCTGGACAGGCCAAACTGTACACTGAGTTGGCCCAAAGGGTGAAGAACGATATTGTCCGTCTCAACAGTCAGGCGAGGATCAACATCATTACCCCAGTTGAACCCGCAGCAGGGAAGCAAACAGACTCAATCCCCCGAACTATCGCATTCCTAGCCTCCCACCGCGCGGCCGGACACCTTACAGGCCAATGCCTCAACCTGAATAATAACACGCAAAACGAATCTACCTCAACCAGCCTTGCCCCGTCCATCCCTAGATCCCTCACCAGAGTCAGCAAAAAAATCCGCGTCGCCATAAGCATCGACCTAGACGCCGTCTCCGGCTGGCTCGGCACCGGCAAAAGCCCAGACAACATCCTAGCCGACTACTCAGCGGGCTTCTTCGGCGCGAGAGTCGGCGTTCCACGTCTTCTGAACATGCTCAAGAAGCTCAATCTCGCAGACCGCTGCACGTGGTTTGTCCCGGGCCACTCTGCCGAGAGTTTCCCGGACGAAGTACAACAAGTAGTTGACTCTGGCTGCGAGATAGCACTGCACGGCTACGCCCACGAAGGCGCCTACCAAATGACGCCGGAACAAGAGCGCGACGTCCTAGTCAAGTGCATCGACATTGCCAAGAAACTCACGGGAAAGAAACCAGTTGGCTATCGAGCTCCATTATACCAGCTCCGTGAATCAACTCTAGATCTATTGGAAGAATTCGGCTTCGAATATGGTATATTCCCCAACCCTCCTTGACCTTTCCTTCCACTCCATGTCCATCTACCACACAACAACCTACAAACTAACGATACCAATAACCAGACTCCTCCATTACCGAGCACGACAGCTACCCCATCTTCGCCCCTCGCCGCCCAGCCATCGAACCCATCGACTTTTCCAAGCCCGCCTCAAGCTGGATGAAACCCCTCCCAGCTTCCTCAGACCGGCGCCCTCTCGTTTGTGTCCCTTGCAACTGGTACATGGAAGACATGACACCAATGCAGTTTCTTCCTC